AAAAAAAAAAAAAAATCGTGGATTTTTCCCCTTGAAAACATATGAAAATTATATCTATCTTTGATTTTCAGAAAAAAAAATCATTTCCTAGTCTGCTAACAATCACATGAATCACAAAGCAATTGCTAAATTTAAAAACAAGCTATTTTAAAACAATTTAAATGTTATCATATTTAAAAATGTATACTTACGCTAACTCAAGTGCAATACCACCGTTCCCTATGATCATTATTCTTTTAGCTTTAGTAAGCTGTTTCTGAAATTCCTATATTGAAAAGAAAATAATGAGGTAATATTTTGTAATAGTGGGTAAGATCTGAAATAAGAGGCTTCAATGGTAATATTCTAAAAATGTAAATATTTTATTAAATTTATAAAGGAAAAAAGATGAAATCTCACTTTCCCACTCTACCAGGGTACATCCTCCCAATTAATATTACAAAAGTTCCCCTTTATGCTTTATCCCAAGCTGCCTTTATAGCTGTGCCTCTCCTGATTTTCCTTTCCTTTTAGGTCATTACAATTAAAGTACTTCAGAATTTCAGCAGGAGGCAGTATTAACTTACCACATTCCCAACTATTTGACCAATCAATTATTCTTTCTTTTCACCTAGACACTCAGTTTCCCCAGAGTTACTCAACACTTAAAACTTTTAGGAATGAGAAGCTCAGCAGCATAGTGGTTAAGAGCAGACTCTGGAAGCACTGGCTTAAGCAATTACTAACTGAATAACTTTGGGCAAGTTGCTTACCCCATCTGCACCTCAGGTCCTTCAACTAGAAGTGGAAATGATAAGTGACTATATATACTGATGTTTCTGTAAGTATTATGTGAAATGATACAAACAAAACTGGTAGGAGTAGCAGGCACACAATAATGTCACACTTTTACTGAAAAAAATGTTATTAACATTCTAAGACAGCTAAATTGATGCCTCCACCCCCAAGAAAAAAGGTCACAATGAGCTTGGAGAAGCCAATGGTAATTCTTCAGGCACTTTCAAAAGTATAGAATAGTCTCATTGCTTCAGAATGACATCTGAACAGAAAAATTCCCCCTGCTACTAAGTTTCTATTAAATGTCTATTAAATTTATCTCCAAACTTATAATATTCACTGAAGTTGACTTTTTAAAAATTCTCCAAAAAAAAAAAAAAAAAAACCAGCCAGTTTATTTTAGTTTGTCCTTCTTTGAAGATACTGCAATTTAAGAAAGATCTGTAAGAGCACTGGACCTAGAGGTGAAAAGCACAAGCTTAAATTGTGTATCTGATAAACTTAATATCTAAATTATATAGATACATACTTAATCTCTCAACCTCAGTTTCCTGTTTGTAAAGTGGGAGTAATAATCATCACACAGGATTATCATGAGGATTCAATGAGTCCATGTATGTAGAAGACCTAGCTGAAACATTTATGAGCTCAATCTCTGATAATATGAACTTAAATTGTTTACAAGAAGATAATCAAGTTCATTTAATTTCCTCTAAATTCCTAATTATTTAATTAAGAGGCTGAAAGAAAACATTATTAATTTTTCAGAATATAAAATATTATACTGATGCAAAATCATCATGTCATGAGACAGAACAACAAGCTTGAGGTTAGACACAAAATTGTGAAACCAGGAAGAGCTTCTTGGCAATAAGCGTTAATAAGCCCTGAATTAAATTACCAAAAGAAATTATATAATGTTCCAAATACAGAAGATTCACCTTATTGAGATAGTTTACCTAGGGCAGAATAATAAGTGACTTTTTCTGTTCTATGATTCTATCATGATTTTGTACCACAAAGATCTTTTGAATACTGTTTTT